GGGTGAGAATAGCCTACGCTGGCACGTCTCACCCGGGGTGAGAGGTAGATCGTTTTTCTATTCTCACCCCGGATGAGATAGCCACTTCCATTTTATAATCTAGATTTAATAGTGGTCGCTCGTTACGGAAGTCCTCCCCTTGTGGTGCCCTAAACTCGAGATTTTCTCACAAAATTAAAGAGAATAGAGGCTAGCCTAGAATCTACTGCCCAGACTTAGAAATGCAGACATGAACATGGGAAGACTTGGAATTGGCCCAACCCAATCCCGGCCTCATCATATTTCCCTCCACTTCCATCGCGACGACATACTAATAGATCAAGATCTACACTTTGAACAAAAACAGAAAGTTACCTTGAAGAATTTCTGGAATCTGTGTCCATACCCTGGAAAGTAGAAGTAGTCGTCATCTTGAATAAATGATGTTCACTAGTGCGAGCTTTGGGGCAGATCGTCGTTGTCTAGTGATTCACGGAACATTCGGTGCAAGACGGGAAGTAACTGCGACTTGGAGAACTATTTTGGCACATAATAGGACTTCCGGAAAAGCCTGGCCAAGAATGCATTAGGTACGGTGAAGAGTTAAAAGTTAGTCAACAGTCTACAGTGACCATTACTTCGACCGCCTCCCCCTCCCCCTAAAAAAAACACCCTACAAACAACAATCAAAGCAAAACAGAATAAAACTAACAATGAGGAGCACAACAGAACAATCGAACTGCATGTTTTATCCAACAAAAGGAGGTCCATATATACCCAAAAGGACCAAACAGTGAAGTTCGTCCATCAATATTATGTCTGCTGCAAAAGAGAATTCTTTATTTATTAAGCGAAACAGAAAAATAAATGGGCTAAGACACAGAATTCTGTGGGCTAAGATGACTTTGCTATGGACAATGAGACCATTGGCAGAGAAGAGTTTGCTCTTTTTCAGCATTTATAAAAAGCCACTTTTCCACTTGTGGATTTGCGTAGATGGCAGCTTAATTGCTCTCTCTCTCTCTTGGCATCAGCTTTCAACATGTCTAATTCGTCATATGGGGCCTCGTATGATTTGCTTCCCTGTGATTTGCCGCTCTCCGACTGAGTCTAGGCTGTCAGGAGAATCTTCCAGGTTAAGGGATTAATGCTGAAGTCTTCATTGATATTTTCAGGATGCATTTGTAACTTTCTTTTATTCTGAACTCAGACATCATTTTTTGGTATGGCCAGTCCAGTATGAAATCGAGTCCTTTAAATGCAGCTAAAAAGATAGCTAACATTAATGCAGCCATTGCATTTTTCTTAACCAAATGCAAAGGCAAAGATAATAAACACAACTTCGTGCGCTATATGAAAAACACGCCCAACCCCCTAGAGTTATATCTTTGAGTACGTGCACTTCCACCTGGTTTACATATATTGTCTTGCTTGTATTAGTAAATGTTTACACCTACAAAAAAGAAAGATATACAGTGTACATGTGGCGGGTGACTTTGCATGATAATTGATAGCCCTACCAAAATGATAATACATATATATAGCCTAAATCAATAAAGAAAATAATCTTACTGTTTATTCCTATATTCATCTTATTTTAGTTGGCCGGGTTGGGGGGTGGGGGTGAAATATGGGTCAAAATCAGCTCTCTAATTCTTGCTTCTTGAAAAGAAAAAAAATCTCATAGATACTTAACGTACCACTCCACCCCCAACTCACACAACACACACACACACACACACAC